ACATGTCAAATAATTAATTTAATGGTAAAATCCGGTTTAAAATCAATGTCAGGTCAAATTAAAAGAATTAGAGATAACATTGCTTGGATTCAAGGTAGTAATCAAAGAATACAAGATTGGTTTAGATTTTTACAAGCATGTAATCAAAATCCTAGAGCATTAGCCTTAGATATGCCCATAAGATGAAACTCTACTTATATAATGCTTGAACAATACATCCCCTATAAAGATGCTATAACAAATTATGTAGTGCAAAATTAGGACCAGGATTTATAAATGAAACTGATTGGCAAATTGCCGAACTCTTGTATAACTTTTTAGGTAGATTTCACGAAGTTACCGTAAAGCTTAGTGGAACTTATTACCCAACGTCACCATTAGCGTTAGGAAAACTTTTAAAAATGTCTACTTTATTTAGTAAATTTAGGACACACGAGATTTTAGGAGTTCCTATCACCTCTATGGAAAAGAAGTTTAAGAAATATTGGTCTAAATTACCCATGTTGTATGGTTTCTTTTTTTTTGTTATTTTTGACTCTAGATTAAAATTAGAAGGTTTAGAAAGTGGATTAGATAACTTAGGTGAATTTTTAGCTATCGACACTACTGACCAATTTCCTATTATAAAGGAAAAAATATTTTCTCTTTATATCTCTTACGAAAGTAGGTTTAGAAACACACCTCGTGTTGAACAACCGCAACAACGAGATGACAATCTGCATTCATTCTTGAATATTTTCGGGTTGTCTAAGAAGAATAATAAGACGACAACTCAAGGAGAATAATCTGGGAGTGGATCTTCGTCAAGAGGTGGCGGCAACAGCGGCAGATTCAACGAGTTAATGACGTACCTAAGTGAGGGCTTAGTTGTAGACAGTAGTGAAATGTTTGATTTGGTTCAGTGGTGGAGGGCACGAGCATTAATTTGGTCGATCCTAACACAACTGGCAATGAATATTTTTTCAATCCCGGTCTCCACTGTTGCAGCCGAACAAGCATTCAGTACAACCGGCCGAATACTTGAAGAACGGAGAAACACATTGCAACAGGATATTGTTGAAGCTTTGGTGTGCATCAAGGATTGGGATCGTTCCTGTTGGTCTCCGAATCAGAATTCGGATGCGGAAGCGTGGTGCGGGGAGAGGCGGATCGTGTATGATAAAAATTTTCACAAAACCTTTGAGATACTCTATAGATTATATTAATTTATGCTTGAATAAATTAATCTCATTAATTCATTTATTAAGAACTGAATTAGGAAAAATACCTGGAGGCCAACTCGGATGATAACTTGAGTTCTTTAACCTCGAACAATCCTTGCTCCAAAGCTTTGTGTTTAGAAAACCAATGTCTTCCACGTCAATTCCTAGAATCCACGAAGACATGTGTGTGGGCACACATGAGACAAAACGGGTTACAATAAACACTCGAATTTCCACAAACACCAACACATGCACAATGTGGAATTTTTGAAGAAAAATTTTTTTCCTTCCTCTATGTGTTAAGAATTTCGGCCAGCCTTAACAATTAGGGCTGAAATTGTTTTCAAAAATTGTCACAAAAATTGTGTCCACAATTTTCTACTATTCTCTTATTTATAGAGTAGAAGTCAAACTTCTAGAAGGAATCAAATCTCTATCTCCAATTTGAATTTCGAACCAAAATTCTCCTCTATCCCTTATCCCTTGTGGTCGGTCATGCTAGGGATTCCTATCTCTGTGTGTGGCGCCAATCCTGGATAGGGAAGGAAGAGAAAATCATCCTTTATCCTGTAGTCAAATTTTATTTCAAATTCAAATTCGAATTTAAGTCAAACTTAAATTAATTTGAATTTCTAAATTGAACAACTTATCAAATAAGTTTAAATGGATAAATCTAGATGTGTTCAAATTCAAATTTAAATAATCACAT